TGATGATGGTGATGGCAATGATAGTGGTGATGGTGATGATGGTGATGGTGGTGGGTGGTGGTGGTGGTGGTGATGATGGTGATGGCAATGATGGTGGTGACGATGGTGGTGGTGGTGGTGGCAGTGGAGGTTGTGGTAGTGGTATGATAGCTGCCCTTTCCCTGAGTGTTTGTAGTTATGCAGTGAATTAACTCATGTAATCCTTACAACAAACCTGTGAGGGAGTTCTATTTTATGGGTGAGCAGACAGGCACAGAGAGTTTGAATCACCTGCCTTAGGTCACACAACTAGTAAGCAGTAGAGCCAGGACTTTGAACTTAGGTCTGGCTCCAGAGTTGCACTCTTAAACAGAACCTGCATGGATAAGAATTTTGATGAATGTGTACATCTAGGCTGAGTCTGTGTGTGTGACCAGGTCTTGCCCCTAGGCTTCTGGGTGGGTAATCCTTTCCAAGGGGCAGGCAGCCTTGACCACCTCTTGGCCCCCCAGGTGTACGATGTTCCTCCATCAGTGAGCAAGGACGTGCCTGATGGCCCACTGCTGCGTGAGGAAACCTATGATGTGCCCCCCGCCTTCACCAAGGCCAAACCCTTTGACCCAACCCGCCACCCGCTGGTCCTTGCTGCTCCCCCTCCAGACTCGCCACCCACTGAGGATGTGTATGATGTGCCGCCCCCTGCTCCTGACCTCTATGACGTGCCCCCTGGCTTGCGGCGGCCGGGCCCTGGCGCTCTCTACGACGTGCCCCGTGAGCGGGTTCTTCCTCCTGAGGCAGCTGATGGCAGCATGGTCGACGACGGTGTGTACGCGGTGCCCCCCCCAGCCGAGCGAGAGGGCCCGGCCGATGCCAAGCGCCTGTCGGCCTCCAGCACAGGCAGCTCACGCAGCAGCCAGTCAGCCTCCTCCCTGGAGACGGCGGTGCCGGGTCGTGAGCCCCTGGAACTGGAGGTGGCCGTGGAGGCCCTGGCACGGCTGCAGCAGGGCGTGAGCACCACTGTGGCCCACCTCCTGGACCTGGCAGGTAGTGCCGGCGGGTGTGGGGGCTGGCGCAGCACCGCCGAGCCTCAGGAGCCCCCAGTACAGGACCTGCGGGCTGCAGTGACTGCTGTCCAGGGGGCCGTCCACGAGCTGCTGGAGTTTGCCCGCAGCGCTGTGGGCAACGCTGCTCATACTTCTGACCGCACACTGCATGCCAAGCTTAGCCGGCAACTGCAGAAGATGGAGGATGTGTACCAGACACTGGTGGCCCATGGTCAGGCCCTCGACAGTGGCCGTGGAGGCCCAGTGGCCACTCTTGAAGACCTAGATCGCCTGGTGGCCTGCTCAAGGGCTGTGCCTGAGGACGCCAAGCAGCTGGCCTCCTTCTTGCATGGCAATGCCTCACTGCTCTTCAGACGGACCAAGGCCCCTGTCCCAGGGCCTGAGGGGGGCGGCCTCCTGCACCCCAACCCCATCGACAAGGCCAGCAGCATCCAGTCCCGGCCCCTGCCCTCACCTCCCAAGTTCACCTCCCAGGACTCACCGGACGGGCAGTACGAGAACAGTGAGGGGGGCTGGATGGAGGATTACGACTACGTCCACCTGCAGGTGGGTGCCCGCCCTTACCAGGTTCCCTAGGCCCAGGGGAAGTGCCCTGGCCCTCTCGGGTCTCTGACTTGGCTAGCCCTATTGTGGGGACCCTGATCCCCCACACACAGAGGGCTTTTGTAACCAAAGGAGGATTTGGGCCCCAGCAGGGCCTCGGTGAGTTCCTGAGCCCTTCTCTTACTTTGACCTTTCAGGCCTGATGGCCACCCAGAAGCCCATTCCGCTCCCTACCTCAGGCCTTCGAGCCGACTTGGCCATGTCGTCAGGGGTCCTGCAATGCCAGCCAGGAATGGCTCCCAAGTACCAGCAGGGGCTGGGCTTCTCTGGTGATCAGGGCAGAGGTGGCTCTGTTCTGTCTGGGGAGATGGACTCTGAAGTCTAAGCAAAGACAAAGATACTTCCAGGCATAGGGGCAATAAATAAAACAAGGTGATGGGAAGGTGGGTAGGCATGGGCTCTGAGCAGAGACCTAGGGGCCAGCCAAGTGGACCTCTGAGGAGGAGCATTCCAGGCTGAGAGCCAGCAGCTCCCAAGGCCCAGTGGTCAAGGACAGGTGGGCAGGCCCTGTACACCGAGGGGAGGGGCTTGGATGTGATTCCTGGCGTGGGAGCCTGGGAAGGGAGGATGGCCATGGCCTCAAGGAGTGTGCCCAGTCTCTTCCTGGGCTGGCAGGAGGTGAAGGAGGCCCAGGAGAGCTGCTTTCTCAGGAAGCTGCCCTCACCCTGGGCTGGGTTGGGGCAGCGCAGGCCTGGGTGCGGCGTGCGCCTGGGTATAGCGTGCAGCGCCACCTGGTGGCAGCATGCCTTGCACTGCACCCCACCCGGCCTGTGGGGGCTTCTGGCTCAGCCCAGTCCCATGTCTCCCCTGCAGGGAAAGGAAGAGTTTGAGAAGACCCAGAAGGAGCTTCTGGAAAAGGGCAACATCATGCGGCAGGGGAAGGGCCAGCTGGAGCTGCAGCAGGTGAGGATGCTCAGGTTCCCCGGCCTCTCCAAGCACAGGCTTCTTGTCTATCAGTGAACCCAGCCATCCCTCAGAACCTGCCTCAGAGCTGAGCCTCCAGGCCCTCCCTGCTCAGCCAAGCCCCGCTCAGCTGTGTGCTGTCTCCAGGCGTTTAAGTTATTATCAGAGTAATCATGGTGGACGTTTTAGAGAACACACACAGAAAAGCGTGAAGAAGCAGAAATAAGCCACTCACACCCAGAAGTGGTCACCAGGTGCTGGGCCTGGTGTCCAGCCCTGCTTCCGCCCTGGAGGGGGCTCTCTCCATGTGTTTGAGATGCTACTTTGTGAGCAGTTACATCTGCTTTTATCTCAACATTTTTCCATGGCATTAAATGTTCCTCATAAACTGTTTTAAAAGGCCACATAATGTCTATTATTGCTGAATGTTTACATTGTACCCAGTTTTCCTTATTATAATAATAGTGCTGTGTTTATCTGCAGACATAGAATTTTCTTCATATTTTGTATCATTTCCTGATGGTAGGAAAAGGATATATAAAAAAACTAAGGGTGGGCAGGCCCTGTGGCTTAGCGGTTAAGTGTGCACGCTCCGCTACTGGCGGCCTGGGTTCAGATCCCGGGCGCGCACTGATGCACCGCTTCTCTGGCCATGCTGAGGCCGTGTCCCACGTACAGCAACTAGAAGGATGTGTAACTATGACATACAACTATCTACTGGGGCTTTGGGGGAAAAAAAAGGAGGAGGATTGGCAATAGATGTTAGCTCAGAGCTGGTCTTCCTCAGCAAAAAGAGGCAGATTAGCATGGATGTTAGCTCAGGGCTGATCTTCCTCACAAAAGAAAAAAAAAAGGGAGATTTATTCTGATTGTGAAGATACTAAAAAAATTAAAATATAAACTAGCACAAAATAGACACAGAAATATCACCCATAAAGTTTCCCTTCTACCTTCCTCCAGGCATGGGGAAGGACAGGTGAGAGCCTGCCGGCTCCGCCCAGAGACCCAGGACACAAGCCACAGTGTCCCCAGCTATAAAGAGGGGATCACAGTTGTATCCATCTCAGAGTTGATGTGAGAATTAAATGAGTAAAGACTGTACAATGTTTAGGAGGTGCCTGGCACATAGAACATGTTTGGTGAGGGAATCAGTGTTAATAATTACATATATGTATATAATATGGAATCTCCACTGATTTAAGAAATGGCCGTGCACTTGATCCTCTTTGTCTTCCGCTGGCATCTTGCAGCATCTGTTTAAGCAGTCCCCTGTTGCTGGACATTCAGGTTGTTCCCAGAGTTACTTTTGTAAACAGTACTGTGCTGAAAATGAATCTCTTTACATATCTGATTGATCACTTAGATAAATTACTAGAGGCTGGAATACAAGGTAAGAATATGTATGAAAAACTCTACAGATCTAGAGTTCCTAAACCAGGGACAGAAAGTACAAGTAATATACAGGTACATGAAATGTATTGACAAGGATGTGTATTGCTCCATTTCCATATCAGTGAAAAATCTGGAACCACCCCCCCCAAATGTCTAGTAGTAGAGTACCGGTTCAACAAAGTATGAACATTCATATGGTAGAATATTATGTAGCTATTAAGAATTGTCAGAGGATGAAAAAGACCCACCAGAGTTTAAAACAAAACAAAACTGAATGTACTCTCTTGCTGGACAAGTTCACAAAGTAGCTGCCTAAGCGGGGACAGTCAGAGGGTTCCAAGTGTTAGGAAGTGGCCGTTTCATATGGGTTTTGCTAATTCAATTCAGGCTTGAAACCTTGGTAGGACAGAACTTGTCTGTCCCTGGGTCTGTGCACAGCCAGCCACAGCCACTCAGTCCCCTGATCAGAACCAGCTCTGGTGAGGACCCCCAGGCAAGGGCTGCTGCTGGTGGAAAGTTCCCTTTGGCCACATGTGTTTATACATACTCGCTGACCTGAAATGAATTGCCTATTGTTGGCTGCTGCAAGTACGCTATAAATATTATATATGGCGTGTTTCCAGTTTTTAATCGAAAAGGAAATGAGAATATTCATGTTTAAAGGAAAACAGCTTGAATATTCACCAGTTTTTTATGTGAATTTTTGTTCTCTGAAGCTTTACAGATACTCGAACCTTTTTTCTCTTGTTTAAAGTTTCTATTATGGGGCCGGCCCCGTGGCTTAGCGGTTAAGTGCTCGCGCTCCCCTGCTGGCGGCCCAGGTTTGGATCCCGGGCGAGCACCGACGCACCGCTTCTCCGGCCATGCTGAGGCTGTGTCCCACATACAGCAACTAGAAGGATGTGCAGCTATGACATACAACTATCTACTGGGGCTTTGGGGGAAAAAATAAATAAAATTATAAAAAAAAAAAGGGGGGGCGTTTACTCTTAAAGTTTCTATTATGGAAAATTTATAACATTTATTATTTTATACAATTTAAATTTAATACATTTAATATAAATTTAATACATTTATAAAACAGTCCCTCAGGTACCCACTGGATAAAATAGACCCCCAGGTAGCATTTACCCAGTCCCACCCATTCTCAGCACAGCAGCTAGTCCTGTTCTGTCCCCCCTCCCCCCAAATCATTTTGAAAACATGGTATCATTTCATCTGCAGATACTTTAGTGTATAGTTCTAAAAGATTTTCCAGAATTTTAACAGAGGTTATTTCTGGGTGCATAGGATTCCAGGTGACAGCTATCTTTTTTTCTGCTTGGTGTATTTGGATCTTTTTATAATCTATATGTTAAGGAGAAAATGTATGTTTTTTTTTTGTTTTACTTTTCAATTTGAAATATTTATAGAATCACAGGAAGTTGTAGCGAGTCCAGAGCAGTCCTGCATCCCCTTCACCCAGTTTCCCCCTGATGGGGTTCTGGGTAACCAGAGAACAGCCCCCCACCTCACCCCTGTAACTGCTCCTTTGTTCTCCTTTTCTATCATTTTGTCATTTCAAAAATTTTGTATAAATGGAATCATACCTTTTGAGATTGGTGAAACAATTATTTGGAGAGTCTCTAGAAGGCTGGCAAGGATGTATGCTCCGCCCGCAGGATAGATACAGCCGGTTCCCCTTGCCCCCGCTAACTGAGTCCTGTCCCTTTTTAGAAGGGATCCATTTTTGTCCCTTTTTGCTCGGTGGCTGCGGTTTTCACTCTGCTTTCCCTCTGCCTCAGCTGAAGCAGTTTGAACGACTGGAGCAGGAGGTGTCACGGCCCATAGACCACGACCTGGCCAACTGGATGCCAGCCCAGCCCCTGGCCCCAGGGCGGACGGGCGGCCTGGGGCCCTCAGACCGGCAGCTGCTGCTCTTCTACCTGGAGCAGTGTGAGGCCAACCTGACCACGCTGACCAACGCAGTGGACGCCTTCTTCACCGCCGTGGCCACCAACCAGCCACCCAAGATCTTTGTGGCACACAGCAAGTTTGTCATCCTCAGCGCCCACAAGCTGGTGTTCATTGGGGACACGCTGTCGCGGCAGGCCAAGGCGGCTGACGTGCGCAGCCAGGTGACCCACTACAGCAACCTGCTGTGCGACCTTCTCCGTGGCATCGTGGCCACCACCAAGGCCGCCGCCCTGCAGTACCCATCTCCCGCCGCTGCCCAGGACATGGTGGACAGGGTCAAGGAGCTGGGCCATAGCACCCAGCAGTTCCGCCGCGTCCTGGGCCAACTGGCAGCCGCCTGAGTCCAGATGACCAGAGCGATGGAGGACGGGAGGAGGGCAGTGATGGTCCGAGCTGCCCCAGGCACCTGTCCCAAGAGAGTCGCCGTGCCATGGGCATGGGACAGGCAACCTCAGTTCTGCCTGGGCCTGGTGCCCCAGACTGTCCAGGGATTTGTACATATTTATGATGGGGCAGGATGTGGGATGGTGCCTCCTCAGAGGAGCCCAAGCAGAGCTGGGCCCCAGTAGCTGAGACTGGGCTGGTGGTCTTCCCTGAGTGCGCTGCAGGCCCAGGGAGGGTCCCAGTGCCGGGGACCGGGCCAGGGGCACACAGGCCCCTCAACCACACAGCCTCAGGTGACTCCTGGGGCTGACCTCAGCCCCGGAGGGTGCCTTGTCCCCCCGACAGGGCAAGTGCAGCTGTGGCCTGTTCCTTCTCTGCACCCGGAGAAAACCCTAAAAAACTATTTTTCATTATTGATTTTCCAATCATTTGACTAATAGTCTACATTTAAATAAAATTTTAAAAATGAAAAGCAGCCTCCTGAGGTGTGAGAGGCAAGAGGGACGGTGGTGGGAAGGCAGAAGTGTGCTTGCTCTCAGGTGCCGCAGGGTAGGAGTGGTGGATGGAGGGGATCCGTGGTGAGGCTCTGGGCGGCCTCTTGGGAGGGTGAAGAAAAAGTGGTCCCGTCAGAAGAAAACCAAGGCCCCAGGAAATGTCTGGGTCTGGGAGTTGAGGCTGGAATGTCTTCAGCAAGGTGAGGGCGAGGTCTGCAAATGGCCGCAAGACCTGGGGAGCCTGGGCTCGGGGAGGGCTGGGATCGACCTGGGCTTCGAGGTCTGATGCAAAGCCAGCACAGTCCCAGAGCAGGTGGCCAGAGTGAGGGCAGGTGTGGGGACAGGAGCGGGGTGAGCCCTGCTGGGGCCCCCCACATCCCAAGGCAGAGAGCTCACGGCTGAGGGCACTGCTGGTGGCTACATGATTCCACAGAACAACTCACTTTCACAGACTTTATCCAGAACTTGGCTCTTAGAAGGAAGCTCATAATTTCAGCCTGTGGAACTTCTAAAATGTCTTATTTGAATTACACATGGACTTGGCCTCCAAATTGGGAGATGGGGCCCCAGAGGGGCCCTTGCCCTGGGTCAGTGTGCCCTCCCTGGACCTCTGGAGGTATGTCTGGCACCCTCGGTGAGGTGAGAGCCCTCGGAATCAGGAGGTGCTGCTCCCAGCTCTGACCATTCTGCATGTGAACTTGGGCCTCAGTTTCCCTATCTCTATGAAGAAGAGAGTAGGGCTGGGTGATCTGCTAGCCCTCTATGCTCTGAACTCTGCAGAGGGGACCCCAGTGAAGGCCGCCATCTCCCACCCTTCACCCACCCTGGCAAAGACAGAAGTGAAGACGCAAGCAGTTGCTCTCAGTGGGTTTATTTGGGTTTTAGACAGACCGGGGGCGGGGAGCAGGAGCTCAGGTGGTCTCCATAACCTCTCGAACCCAGGGAATAAACTCAGTGACCCTGGCGTACACGCCTGGTGAGAATGGGAGACACCGGCCACTGCCCCAGGACACGATGCCTACCAGGGTCCAGGCTCCATCCTTCTGGCAGACCAGAGGGCCGCCAGAGTCGCCCTGAGGAGGAGAAAGGACTTGTGTCCAAGCCTGAAAGAGGGTGCCCGGGGCCCTACTGTGCCCTGACCTGGCCGAGTCCAGGGTGGTGCAGAGAAATGACAAATGTGGGCACAGGCCCTACACGAGATACTTAGATCTGGTCGAATGGCAGCCCAGCTCCGCCACCTACTCCTTACCCTCTCACCCTGCCATGGTCTGTAAAACATCCAGCCCGCGGGGTTCGCGTGGCTTAAACACCCCTGGGAAGCCCCGCCCACACCCTGCCAGAGCGAGCGCCCGGGGGGAATCTGCTAGTGCTGGTCCAGCCTTCCGCTGGGGCACCGCTGGGGCACCGGGCAGGGAGCGGGGTTCAACAGGTCGTGGCAGAAAGGAGAGGCCCTCCTAGCCTGACCAGGGCAGGGTGGCCACCATGCAGCGGGGACGTACCATGCAGGAGGCGACGCCGCTGGCGCCAGCGCAGATCATCACGTTGGCGATCTTGGTGCCCCAGTACTTCTTGCATTCGGCGTTGGACAGGAGGGGCAGGACCGCCTGCTGCAGCCTGTCGGGGGTCTTGTTGGCTGGAGGGACAGAGGGGGTGGGGTCAGGGCCCCTCTTCCCACCCAGCCCACCCCAGGGAGGAGGC